CAGGGAAGTTACTTTGAGGACCAAGATGTGCCTGACCAGATCCAAAATATTTTTAATTGCCTCATATGCACATGACAGCTGGACAATAAATAAGGAAGGATGAAGAAGAATCTTTGCATCTGAATTATGGTGCTGGCGAAGAATATGGAAAGTACCATGGACTGCCGGAAGAACAAACAAATATGTCTTGGAAGACGTACAGCCATAATGCTCCAGAGGGCAAGGATGGCCAGACCTCATCTCACATACTTTGGACATATTATCAGAATAGACCAGTCCCTGGTGAAGGGAATCACGAGTGGTAAAGAGGGGCGGTGACAAAGAGATAGAGATAGACTTGATGAAACAGACCGACACAGTGGCTTACGACTGTGGGCTCAAACACAGCAAGTATGAAGATGGTACAGACTGAGTGTGTTTCATTCTGCTGTTCATGAGGTCGCTATGGGTCAGAACCAACTTGAGGGTGCCTAACAGTTTACTGACGTTAATCATCAGACCTTTCTTCCTAGTCTATCTTAGCCCGGAAGTCCAGAGGGAACCTGAGAAGTGCTTTCAAAGCACTTTATGTGCTGGAAGCGCCACTGAAACCTGATTAGCATTCCAACAACATGCAAGCCTCCACAGACAGATGAGTGGGGGCTCTGAGGTGCTTTGGCACGTGAAATACTGCTGGGAAATTAATTTGGTCCCCCACGATTCTCGGTGGTTTGACAATGACGTAATGGTGCAGTGTGACAGTTAAGTAATGATCCCCCCCATGATGGACGCTAATGTGATAAAGGTGTTACCTGCAACACTGGTTATCTCATGAGAAAGAAGGACCTCCTTACAATAGAGAAAGGGGAGCTGGGAGTGATGCGTGTCCTTTGGGCTGGGCTCCCTGTGTTGGGAAACCCCTAGGTTCCAGGGGAAACTCTTGCACAAACATCCGGAGACCTCCAAGAGCAGCTGCTAGCTGACACTCAGGCTGCAGACCCCTCCGCTCTCAAACTGTGGCAGAAGAAACTTCTGCTTGTTAAAGCCACCCAGTTGGACACCACTGAGACAGGTGCGCTGGCCAGGATGCCAACCTAAATCAGGTCTCACCCTGGAAGAAGGGAACTCTACCACTGGACCAGGAGCCCAGAGCAGTTACCAGAGGAGACTCTGACACCACTCCCTGGTGTCTTCTCGCTTGTCTCCAGTAGACATCGGCATTGCGCATCTGGTGTCTTCTCGCTTGTCTCCAGTAGACATCGGCATTGCGCATGGCAGCTACAATCACCCAGAGGTGCCTTGGGAGAAAGGCTCTGTATGCTACTTCCAGGCTGATACACCAGGACGAACACTGGGGAACAGTGCTCCACTCTGCAGCAGGCAGAGGGTCTCTGGCACCTGTGCCTACTCAGGCACATGAGATGTGCAGGGTCCTCACTTGGGGGCTGCTCCAGCTGACAGTTCCACTGGGTATACACTGGACCTTTTCAGAAGCAGGTGGAGGGGATTCCCAGTCATGAAGGAAGAAGAGGCATAGGTCCCTGCCTGAGGTGGCAGAGGCAGCAGGGGCACCAAGAGCAGCTGGGAGAGCCCAAGACCCAGCAGAGGTAGCACCGAGACCACGAGGAGAGCACAGGGTGGAATTCCAGCCCTCCAACTGAGTAAAATCAGAGACCTAGGGACCACATGGCTGAGAGCTGAGGACCAGAGAGACATGCCTGCCAGCATGGATGAGAAGAGGCACTTCCTAATAAACTCCTTAATTGTGAGTCTTGTCTGAGAGTTCTACTAGGCCACTGTGGTGGATTATCAAACCCAGCTGAGAAGTAGAAAGCCCTAAGTGGGAGGGACGCTGGGGTCAGAATAGGGTAAGCAGAGTGGGAGGGCCGAGGTTCGTCTGACCTCTGCCTCACAGGGATCATCCTTGGGCAGATGTGGAGTTGGATGCCCCTCCTCGGTGTAGCTGGGGAGGGTGGAGTGAGGGGTGTCACATGTGACCATTTCTCCAGAATATTAAATTTTCTTGTTCTCCCTGTCAGTTTTCCTAGGCCCTCCTGATATGGTCACTCAATCTACCATTAGACATGAACATAACACGGTTAACAAACATGTAACAAGTGTAAGAATGTCGACCATCACTGAGTGTTGGTTAGAGCCTCCATGAACAGAGCAGACAGGTTGGCTTGACAGTGGCCTGAGCAATTCACCCACAAACCTCACTGCCTCATAGACCAGGGCTACAGGGACACATGTTGAATGTGCTGGCACATCAATGCCTAGGTGAGAGGCTTTGCTTGTGTTCCAGCGCCACATAAGTGCCCATCTGAACTCAGAGGGGACTGGCCAGCTCCCATTTGAATGTTACAACTCAGCAGAACAGAACCATGGTGATATAAACTGGGATTTCATAAGGTCAGACGATGATTCACTACCATTGGAGCCGGAGAAGCAGCACAACACAGAGGGCTTCGTGGGAGTCAGTGCGCTACACAGGCTGGAAGAACGGAAGGCAGCAGAGAGAAAGAAACAGAAAGGGCACCAGCGGCTGCTGCTGCAGTGCTGCTGGTGGTGGTGGTTGGGCAATGGCAAGGCAGAAGGGCAGCCCTGTGAACAACACAACCCAATGCTGTCCGCTCCTGTGCCATCCTCACAACCATTGTTCTTTGAGGCCATTGTTGCAGGCAGCCACTGTGTCAGTCCATTCACCTTGTGAAGGTCATAAAATGAAACATGAATCAATTTTTCAAATCGATGGGAACTGAGGAAGGGCAGAAGCGAAGGCTGACTCTGAGGTTTCCAATCAGACCCTGTGTTTTATACTCTCCCACATTGTCAACCTAGCCTCCCTTTCCATATGCCTGACGTTTTAAACTGCTAGTAAATTCTTCAAGCTGTATGTAATATTCCCTCAAGAAGCATATTTTCACTCTCCCTCACTGCCCCCTACATGCCCACACTCCCTAGTCCTATAAGAATCGATCACACTTTCTGGGTTATCCTCTTTGGAAGTAGGTATTTCTAATATGGTACTTTCCGCACTTATTTATATGTCTTCTGACACATGTGAGATGAAGGATCTATATATCTGTCTCCACAGCTTGGCAATGTGTCAAGTATATCTGAAAGACTTTATACTGTTTGTTAAGTGAATTAATGGCATCTTTCTTAAAAGAAGAGAGGTGGGGCCCAGTACAGCAGTTCTTATTAAACGAACTCACCAAAAGATCACTATAAACTCTGGACAAAATATTTAAAATAAAAAATCCTACATCAGTAGTTCTCAATCTATGAGTCTCGAGCCCTTTGGGGGCCAAATGACCCTTTTACTGGGATCGCCTAAGACCATCGGAAAACACATATTTCCGATCGTCTTAGGAACTGAGACACCACTCCTCTATCCATCTCCAGGCGGGTTGGCCCACATGCAGATACGCCCACAGATGGGTACTCAGTGTGAAGACTGTTACCCATGCTCCACCATGCTTCAGACACAATTTCATTTATTTGTAATTAGAAATAAATAGTTCACAAGATATAATTACATATTGGGGTTTTTTTGATGAATAACTATGCTTTAATTATGTTCAATTTGTAACAATGAAAATACATCCTGCATATCAGATATTTACATTACAATTCATAAGAGTAGCAAAATTACAGTCATGAAGTAGCAACAAAAATAATTTTATGGTTGGGGGGTCACCACAACATGGGGAACCCTATTAAAGGGTCGTGGTGTTAGGAAGGTTGAGAACCACCGACCTACACAGAAGTGCTTGCTCAAGATGGTGTCGGCACCGGGAATGCCTGCACTCTACAATGACTGTATATACTCGTGTATAAGCTGAGTGTTTCAGCACATTTTTTATGCAGTGTTTGTGGTAAAATTGGGTGTCTCGGCTGATATTGGGTTCAGCTTATACTCAAGTATATATGGTAAATTAGGAAACAAACAAAAAACAGTAAAGTGCTGGACTGGACTGAAGAGGAGCCCTGGTGGTGAAAGGGTAAGCCCTTGGCTGCTAACGCAAAGGTCTGTGGTTTCAACCCCACCAGCCATTCTGAGGGAGAGACTCAGCTGCCTGCATCCATGAAGCCTCACAGCCAAGGAACCCTATCAGGCAGATCTATCCTGTCCCAAGGCGTCCCTAGCAACTGGAATTCTAGAAAGGCATCTTAAGAGACCCAGCACTTAGATGAAAACAGAAAATAAGGCAGCAGGCATGGAAGCAAGTCTTTCCTTTCATCACAGGGCAGTGAGGCTGCAGCGGCAGCTCCAGTGACTGCTTCTCTTCACCAAAGAGTGTGGGGAAGCATTTAGTTTTTGACAGCCAGCCAGTATGGTTTCAGATTCTTCAAGGGCCCGAGCAGTAAGAAATGCAGCAGAGAAACCAATATGGAAAGTGGGATGGGGGGCCACCAAACCAACCAACCAGCAGCTCCCTCCAGCCTCCAAAAACAAAGGGTCCAATTAAACTGATGGGACAAAAGACAACAGAGATCTGGGTCTGAGAGGAGCCAGCTGAGAGCCCTACAGTACATAAGACAAAATAGTTGGTCTGTTAAGAAGGCTGGGAAGAAGTGGGGGAAATGACCTCTGTTCTCAGGAAAGCCTGCTCACCAAAGGTGGGCACAGAGGGCCTGTTCCTCTAAGGTTGGGGCCACTCAACTAGAAATAAAAAAATTAAAGTAAAACAAAGACATGATCCAGTGGTGACCTGGTGAACAAGTCAATTTGTAAGATGAAATTTCTTCATAGCTTCCAAGTCAATGGCTTGGCTGCAGAACTAAAAATTCACTGCATCCTTTACTGGAATTTAGAAGGAGAAGAAAAGACAGAAAGGCCAAGAGACAAACAGAAAACAACAACCCTTTAGAAAAGAGAAGATTCTGAATTCCAGAGATACCAAAGTATGATGATATTCAAATGCCACACCTTCAACAACAAAAATGCTAAGACATACAAGAAAATGGGAAATAATACCCAATTCTAAGAGCAATGTGAATAAAAGAAATCCGCCCAAAGGAAACCTGGAGAATAGGCCAAAAACCAGACTATCGAAAAACAACAATGAATCTAACTGAAGAATTTAAAGAACATACAACAGATTAACAAAAATAGAGAGAGAGAAAAAACACCTTAAGAGCAAGATCCAAAAAAACTAAATGCCATATAGCCAAACTCACTGCCATTAAGTGCTTTCTGACCCATAGAGACCCCATGGGGCAGAGGAGAACTGCTCCTGTGGGCTTCTGTGCCTGGAACTCCTTCTTTACATCCATAAAACTCATTTCGGAGGGTGGCAGTTACATAATCTGTCAACTTGAGCGAAGGGGTGGGAGTCTAGCCTGTCAATCAGGTCACAGCTTGATGACCTCATTTGGAGGCACCAGAGAGATAAACAGCACACTGCAGGCCAGACCCAGTGTCTCTGCCTTCCCTTTCCTGCTGTTGAGACACTCAGAGAGCTGAAGGAGACACATGGAGACCCATGCCAGCATTGAGATGCTTCCACTGCCACTGGATCCACAAGACCTTCTACCCACTGGCCTGTGATCTTCCTGCATGCAGCATCATTGCATGTGCTGCGTGAGTCTAAAGAGGAATTTATGGACTAGTACCAGACATATGGACTAATATCGGACTTAAGAACTTGATCTGGACTGGAGTGGGATGTTTTCTCAATATATAATTGTTCTTTTATATGAAGCTCTTTCTTATACACTTGAGTGTCTATGAATTTGTTTCTCTAATCAACCTGGACTACCACAGCCATCAAGTCACTTCTCACTCAATGACCCTTTAGAACAGCAGAACTGCTCCCTAGCGTTTCCAAGGCTATAATCTCTACAAGCCAGAGAATCTCCTCCTCTTTCTCTCCTGGGATGTCTGGGGGATTCAAACTGCCAGCGTGCTGGTTAGCAGCCCAATACGCCACCAGGACTCCTTGCTTTAGAAAGAATCACAAAGGGCATTTGACCAGGCATGGGATGTATAACGCTGTAAAAGCTGACAGAACAATGGAAATGAGAAACAGAGGGGCAGTACTAGAATGGAGTTCACCCATGTTAGTGTTTTATGTTACTTGTTGGTACTCACTTTAACTAGGCTGTTGTCATAATAAAGTGAAAAGTGTAATTTTTGTGATAACTACTAAGAAAAGAACTTTTTAAATATGTACAGAAAGGAAGAAGAAAATAAGACTCAGTACAAAAAGACAACTGACACACACACACACACACACACACACACACACACACACACACCAAATT